GCTCCAGCTACTCGAAGGTGAAGAGCCAGAGGGGCCTGGCTCAGTTTACGGGGCTGCCGAGGCTCCCCTCGGCCGGAGTTCGCCACTCGCCAGCCCCAGGGAGGGTGGTAGTCCCGGGGGAGAGAAGGGAGCCCGCAGGTGGGGAGGGAAACAGCTTGAATTTAGTAGCCTTTCCTGCTAACATCACCTGCGTGAGGCTCTGGATTGTAGAGAAGGGGCTCTTTTTTCATATAATTCCCGTGGAGGGGGATTATGCGCCCGATTCCCCCTGGAAACTGGGGAACTAAAGGGTGTGCTTATGGCCGCACAGAAAGCGTGTGGCGGATCGGCTGATGAGAGCCCCATCTGTCCGGTTCCAGGTTAGTCTCCTGCCTAATGAATCAATTTCCTTTTGTTTCTGTTAACGCAGAATTCGAAGGAGAGGCTGACATGTCACAGGACTGCAGCGATGAGTGGGAGCTGAGCAAAGAGAATGTGCAGCCCCTCCGTCACGGGCGTATCATGTCCACCTTGCAGGAAGCTCTGGCTCAGCAGGAGGCCTCTGTCCACACTGCTGTTCAGCTCAAAAAACAGTGAGCAATGCTTTCACACCTTCTTTCCTCTTACCTTCCTGCTTCCTCATCAATTTTTCTGTGTTGTGCCTAACCGTATTAATCTCACAGGCATTACAAAAAGTATAGAGGAACAGAAGTTTAGTAACTGCTGTTTATGCTGCTGTCACACTGCAGGTATTTAGGACTGCTTGCTGTGGGTGCTATACAGTGTAGGCTACTATTTTTAGGTTTGCCATGGAGCATTTAAACAGCAAACACTGAGATTTGCTTATGCCCTTAAATGCACTCATTAAGAAAAATACATAGAAGTTACAAAGAGGAGAGCTTTTTTTCTTTCCTAGGATCTATTGAACCAGGGTATTTCCTTGGAGAGAAATACTTGCTGCTATCATAATGTACGCACAACAGAGGTATCTCTAGATGTGTTCTCTGGGTTGCAAAGATACCTGAGTGTGGAAAGTGAGTTTCTCTTGCATACAGCATTGCACAGATCTGACTGTATGACTTCAAGGTGCATCTTGTGTCCCAAACCTATGCAGTTGTATTTCTGTTGTCTGATCCTCAAATTTGTGTGCGCTGTGAAGGTCGAGTTGGCTTTTTGAAGAGCCTGTATTGTACTGTCAGACTTGGAAGCACTGGCGCTTGTTGTGCTGAACCCTCTGGGTGAAGAAGAATGCAAGTCAGCTCACTTCATGGGAAGTCAGCAGGGGCTGTTAACACCTGCCCAGTACTTACTGAACCAATGCTTATCAGCTGGGTCTGGATTTTTTTTTTTCCCATGGAAAGACATGGAATTATTATTGTACTGGGCTCTGCAAGCAAGTTTGTCTATCTTGACTCATGTTTGTGGGGTGTTTATGGTTGAGCAGAGCCTTCCAAGAAAAGGGACTGCCTGGAGAGCTCTGCAGGGTCAGATTAGAGCCTCTGCTACAGATGTTCCTGCCAAACACAAGCTGCAAGGTGGTTTTCTTTCTTAATGTGCTGCCTAAGGGTGAAGTCATCGTGCAGGGATGGAATGATGCAGGGACTTGAAGAATGAGGCAGGATGATGACGACTGTCAGTGTGGCCATTTAGATGTGTCTTCGCTGTGCTCTCTGGTGCAGTTCTGTAGTTGATCATCAGGATTTTCCATTGTCCTGTGTATGTCTTCCAAACTCTTCCTATGCTTAAACAAAGGACATTTCATGCAAAAATTAAACTTTGCAAAATATCTGTCTGCTAATAACTCTTCAGAAGAGAACAAATAACTGTCAAGGGAGACCATGTAACCTTTAGGGTGGTAGAAATTATTGGAAATACACTTTGGAAAGGTGCATATCTCTTCTTGTCAAATAAGGATATGTTTCCCATCACTTCCATTTTAAAGAGGAGTGCAAAAGCTTTTTTTTGAATCTTCTGCTAAAAGCTCAAGTCTAAATATAGGCTAACCTAGCCCTCTTTTAAATAGACTTACAAAACGGTGTGAGCAAAAGAGGTCTTAGTTTACAGTGTAGAAACCACCTTTACAGTTAAACACATGTATTTATTTGATAATTTTATTTTTTAGGGAGTTTGAATCAGAGATTCGATTTTACTCTGGAGATGATCCACTGGATGTCTGGGACCGGTAAGCTTCCTTTTATTTCAGAAGAAAGAATAGAAAGGTCAGATATTCTTGGAAAAGCTTGGGGAAAAAATATTCTGGTTTAACAAGTCACTCATTGAAAGATAAATTCTGTAACAGTTTTTTGAATCATGTGTTGTGTTCCAATACTGTGTCTAATTTTTGTTCTAAATGCTTATGTTGTACGGATACAGAAGCCTTGTATCTTAGTCAGAACTGATTTCCTGTGAATATGTTCCACCTCTAGGTACATCAAGTGGACAGAGCAAACCTTCCCCCAGGGTGGAAAGGAGAGCAATCTTGCAGCAATATTGGAAAGGGCAGTGAAAGCACTCAATGAGCAGCAGCGATACTACAAAGATCCCCGCTATCTTAATCTCTGGCTCAAGTTTGTGAGTGTTTTGTGAATAGGTCTCGGGTGCTGGTTTTTCTTGGTACTTGTCCTGTCATTTGCACACAGTTAAGCTGATGTTGTACAACATGTTCGTTGACTCTGTTAGAACTGGTGCAATATTAGAAGCATCTCTCTGCAAACATGTTGAATTCCACTTCTCATATTCATTAGGATCTTAAGAGCTTTTTAGGATCATTCAGTTTGGATGACTAACAAGCTCCTTAAGTTTTGTTTTGGAAAATCTAACTTGGATGATTATTGATTATTTATTTAAGGAGGAAAAAGTGATCTGAAGATACATTTTTAGGTGTTATATCTGTTCTACCAGATATTTTAACTTCTGTCTTATATCCATACCTTGTGTTTAAGCAAAACCAAGCTGAGTGTGTTCCGGTCTTGCCCAGTGTCTCCGTTGCTGTTTTTGCAGTTCTTGTTTTCTTAAAGCAGCTTTTCAGGTTTAGCCTCCTGAGCTGACTTACCAGCTCTGAAACTGATAAGAAACGCATTACTCTTTAGGTGAAGCTAGAATAACTATTCTCAGGAATACTAATGTGATATTGTTCAATCACTGAATTAGCTCAGATTAAAAAAAATTCCCTAAGAAACAGCTGACTTGGGTTATGTAGGCTAGATTTAAAGGATTGGTAATAATATTGACAAATATTCATGCAGTCAGAGGTTTTTCCCATTCTTATTCTTCTACTGAACTCCTTTGTGTGCTGTGACAGGATACAGTTGTATGTCCTGGCTTTACAGCTGCTCCTCTAAGACTCATATTGAAATCAATGGGGTCTTGCAGGGGATGTCATAACGCAGATAACAGCTTGGGATCCTTTGTAGTCCACTGATTACTGAAATACTTTTGGTTCTTTCAGGGAAATTGTTGTAATGAGCCCTTGGATCTGTACCGCTACCTACACAGCCAGGAAATTGGCACAACACTGGCACTACTCTACGTCACATGGGCAGAAGCACTTGAGGCTAGAGGAAGCTTTAAGAAAGCAGATCTGATATTCCAGGAAGGTCTCCAGCGCAAGGCTGAGCCTTTTGACAAACTCCAGTCTTATCACAGGTAAGCTTCCAGCCAAAGGGAAGAACTCAGTCTTGCATGCTTCAGTGGATACCTGGTACGGTGAAGCTTATGCTGACTTCTCCAATGTTTTTATCAGGCAGTTTCAGACCCGTGTTTCTCGGCAGACACTACTGGGACTTGAGGAATCACCAGACGAAAAAGATTCGGGTCTTCTGGAAGTTGTAGAACCTCAGAGAAACTCACTGGCAGATCTAAAAGGCGTGGGGAAGAAAAAAGTTGTAGGAGATGCACTTAAAGGTACGTTCAGTTGCTGAAACCGCATATTATTGGAAGTCTTACATCTTTTTGTTGTGGAGTTTTACTTGAGTGTGACAGTTTGAAGGTTAATTTGCATAAATCCTTTTGCTTGTAGCCACCAACCAAAAAAGAAGCACTCAGACTCTCGCTTCTCAGCAGCTTTCAAACAATCTGGGTTTTGCTGTGTTTGATGAAAATTCAGCTTCAGCTTCTGGACCTGAGTTTCCCTTACTTACATCACAGCCATGGACAGCACCTCCAGCTCCGAGGGCCAAGGAGAACGAACTAAGAGCAGGACCTTGGAACGCTGGCAGGGTAAGGAGTCTCAAAAAGAGGAGGGTGTGTGTAAACTGCTGACTTCTAATCCCCGAGACAAAGGTCTTGCCCTTTTTGCCTTGCCTGGATGTTGTAACTACAGATCTTCCTAGCTGCTTCCTAAAGAGTCTCTGCCTGCGTAACCTACTCATTTAGCAAGCTAATCTTGCTGGAATAAGTTTTAAAAACCCTGGAGTTCCTAAGACATAATTCTTGACAGCCAGAAATATTGGTAGAGATGGCCTGCCAAACTCTTTTGAGGGAAGAAAAGGAATATAAGAGGGGAAAACACTAGCCAAATAAAGGGAAAGAAGCCAGGTATTAGTTAATTATGTAAGAAAGAAAGGCAACAGGTTCTTCCTTCAGGTTGTATTGTATGATATCAATTTAACTATTGCTTATCTTCTTTTCATAAGAAGGCACGTACAGTGTTCTGCAAGTGTGTTTTGAAGTGCTTGTGAGGAAAACAGAAGAGTGGAGATCAAAAGAATTGAAGAACTACTGAATCAAAGGAATATTTATCCTGACAATAGGATGACAGAAAGTGGTTTCCAATGGTTCAATACTGGAGGCATGAAGAGAACCAGCTGGGCTTACTTGTATTTAAGCTATTCTAGAGCTGTTCTAGAGAAATGATCTAAGACGTCATCTGAAGGAAACAAATCTTCTGAAATCAAGTTGGTTTCATAGGTCCTTAGATAACCCTCAGTGTTCCTCTGTTCTTTGTAGATTAGAGGTAGAGAATAGAAAGTAATGAGATGATAAATATATTTTAGACTTCACTTATAACAACTTTTATATTAAGAAGCTTAGAAGCAAAAACTAGAATGAGGGGAGGGAAGCAAATGGGCTGAAAGTCATGGAAAATCCAGGAATCATTACTGCCAGGTACAAAGTAATTTGATTAAGCGAATGGAAGAGTTCAGTATATCACAGGTTTAATTTAGCTGAGAAGAATGAGGAGGACGAATTAATAATGTAAAACTTCTTATCAGTTACCTTGCTTTGGGCTGCTTAACACATTCATTCTGGTCCCCAGATGCTTCTGTATTCTTCTAATGTGTGTCTTAGAGCTCTCTCTGTTCCCCCATTAGTGAAATTTGTTAGATTTAATTTAAATTTAAAAAAACCCCTACAACTAGCAGAAGAGTTGAGGATGTCTAATTCCTCTTTACTGCAGTGTGGTGCTCATTCTGGCTTGTGTTACAGTGAAAGAATAATCTTTTGCAAATGCTTTCAGATATTAAAAGCTGCACAGAGGAAAGAAGCTTCTCTTTTATTGTCATTGTGGAGATGGTGGAAAAGAGAAGTCCGTTTGAAATAGCCCCACTGTGTAACTTCTGCTTTAGAGTCCAGTGGAACTTCAGCTAGCCAGAGGAGAGTAGCATGTTGTCGGGCTAAATTTCATCTGTCTTCTCTTAAATAATGGAGCACAGAAGCAGTTAAGGGATTTTTGTGGTGGAATGGTCTCTGAAAGGAAAACTGAGAAGTCTTGGAGGTTCTTGGTAGACAGCAGAAGGAATTGGGACAGTCTTGCCTGAAAAAAGAGGACTGTTAGCATTTTTGGAGAACAAACGAGGAGCAACTGGAATACGCTGTGTGATCAGCATTCCCTCAGAATGTCAGAAATTAGGAACTGATGGGGACACGCAGGAGGAGCAGTGTCTTGGTTTTTTTAGGTACTCAGCTGATGGTCTGTAACTGTGCACGTATTGGAGTGGAATTGATCTTGGAAAAGTATCAGGTTTTAATTTTTTTAAAGAACAAAAACTGCAAATGAGCCAAACACTGGAGAAAAGGAGGATTCAGAGTATAGAGGAATGTAGAGTCTAAAAAGGAATCTTTAAGTTGTTAATGTTGACTTTTCCTTCCTCAGCATCCTCGCAGCAATGAAAATTCTGGTGTAGAAATGTCCTGCCCACTGCCCAGTTTCACCCCATATGTGGAAGAGTCAGCTCAGCAACCAATCATGTGAGTCTTGAGTTTGAAATGGGGATTGTATTTGAAATTACCAAAGTTGCTTCCTCTGACTCGTTTCACCAAGCAGTCGAGCCTGTAGATCTAAGAATTAAAATCTGTCAGCCTGGAAGCTCTTTGTGCTTTATCTGGATGGTAGAGGCTTAGGTGGAGGATACGTAAGGTCACGGGAAGTATTTGACTATTACTGCTCACTATGTGGGAGCCTATATCACATTTATATATGCTAATTACTTTAATATCTTAACTCTGTGTGTTTACACAAAAACACAGCTACCTCTCTTTGGAAAAACAGCCCAGAATCGAGGCAGGCTTACTGCTGTTTTCCCTCTATCTTGGGAGCTCTGTGCTCCATCTATCTGGGGTTTTATTCCAAAACAAGCGATCAAAGTTGCCATGACAACAGTGCTGCTGAGGTTATCGAGGAGTATGCTGTTTTGCCTGAATTCACCTTCCTGCTCTGCTGTGCTCACTGAAATGCTGATAAATCCCAGGAGATGGGGTTGCTGTGTTTTGTTAGAGCAGAGGGAAATGAATTCTCTTGCAAAGCTGCTTACGTTTCTCTTTGAGGCTAATGATGGCCACAGAATACATAGGCCCTTCCTAGGAGAGGAGTGGAAGAGAGAATGTTTGGTCTTACAGACAGCTTCCTTGGCTCTGAATTGTGTGTGATCAGCGGGTGCTGCAAGGTGGCTAACAGCATGGATTTTTCCAAGGGTTTGTATGTTGCATGTGGACTGCAGCGTAGCTCTCACCAAGGACGCATCATGATTTTAGTTCAAGAATATGTAAAAAAATTTTCTTCTAAGCCATAAGGCTATTTCTTGCTTCTGACAGTCAGTGATGCCATAGAATTAAACCTCTTGCCATGCTGGCATCTCAGATTAAGACATCATTTACAGAAGGCAGCATCCGTATGCCGTGGAAAAGAAAGAGCTGAACATCATGTTGAATTAGCTATAAGCAACTTGAGCGGAGAGTTTGTGCGTAGCTTTATACTATGTGGTTGGAAGTTAAAGCGGATTTCTTTCTTTCCTGCTTTTGAGTGCATTTCCTCGTGATGCCATAGGCAACTAAATCAAGTAAAAGTGTTGTGTTGAAACTGTATGTAAACGTGGTGCAAATCATGCCATCAGTTGTCATCCAAGTAGTCATCATCATTGGGTAGAAGGACCTTGGTAATAAGCCCCCCACCCTCACAAGAAAAGCTTTAAATACCCCAATCATTAGGAGCAATTGTTTGCCTCAATCTCTCAGATGGTTTTACCCTTGTGAGTCCATTCACTTACAAAACAAAACAGAGGCCTTGGAATTGCGCACTGTGTTTTCTTTAGAACTGACTCTCCACCCAGACCGCGGTTACACGTTTTTTTCAAGGTCAGTTGTCAGATCATCTTTGAGGTACAGATTATTGCTGGAGTTGTCTTGGTTTACTGGTGTCTGTAAAACTACAAATTCCAATTCCTTTCCCCCGAAATGAGCGCGTAGCACTTTGCTGAAAGCACTTTCAAGTGAAGAAATTGACTGCTACTGACTCACTGTACAGCCGTATTTTTGGTGGTGTGTGTTTTTGGTGTTTTTGTGTAACAGGGCACTTCGTTTCTGTTCCTTGGCATGCAAGAACACTTGTCTTGAGCAGACTCCCCTCTTAATGTATCTTAAATAATCCCCAGTAGGGACTGGTCACTTGTGCAGTCACAGAGATCCATGGAGCTAAAGTAAACATAGATCCTGCTCCGGAATGCATAGAAATTCAGAGATTTGTTTGTCCTTGACTGGGCCTTATTAACACTTTGGTGGTTTGTGGTTTATTTGATTACACAATTCAGAGTTGGTATGCTTGCCTTCTGTGTGCCATCATTCTGTTTTTCTTGTTTGTTTTTTCTGTCAACAGAACAGAATGCCTTTAGACCATTCTAGTGTTAGATTCTGAAATGGGCTATTTTCTCTCCTATGCTTGCTTTTCTGTGCCACAGTGAAGTACATGTAAGCGAAGTAATAACTGAATTTTTTCAGGACCCCCTGCAGAATCGAACCCAGCATAAGCCGTGTTCTAAGTGTTCGCAAACCTGAGAAAGAGGAGGATCCACTGCAGCGAGTGCAAAATTATCAGCAGGATACTCAAGACAAGAAAGAGGTGGCGATGTACTGTAAAGATAAAGTTTATGCTGGCGTTGATGAATTTTCTCTGGAAGAGATTCGAGCTGAAATCTACAGAAAGAAAGCAAAAAAGCGAGCTGAAGGTATGCCTCAAAATGGAATACGTAAGGATTTCTGAGGTGGACTCAGTTATACTTACTTATCAGCCTACAGCTGTCTGTTACTGCAGCTGTTTTTCTTCTACTGGAATAGTTACTTCACTGCTCTGAGGTACAAATTAACGTACCTGACAGCTTTACACGGACGCTGTGGAATGGGAAACGAAGACCAGAGGTTTTAGCCCCTTCAAAAATAATTTAGGCTTTAGCCACAGATTGCATGTGAAATGTGTTGTGCCTTAAAAGCTTTTCTTCTTTAGAGGAGATGCAGGCCATAGCACAGAAGAAGGAAGAAATACAAAGGAAAATTGAGGAGCTGGAGAACAAGTTAAAGAAGAAACAAGATGACAAGCAGCAACAACCATGTGAACAGGTATTGTCCTGATTTAACTGTTCTTTTAGAAATAGCTACTATTTTAAGTAAAAGTACCAAAGGAGGAACAATGTTTCTTCTTGGCTAGCACTTTTGAAACTTTTTTGAAAGGATGCTTCAGCCTATTGTATGGATACATCTCCCAGTAAATGAATGCTTGGAGGAATGCTTCTCCCCGACTTGTCCCCAAGCCATATCCTTTCACTACTGGAATATCAGTCAAGGACTTCAAGTCCTGTAGTTTTACTTAACAATCAGACAAGATACCTTATGCTAAGCTATAAACTTCTAAATTTTTGAAGTAAAGGTACGCCAAGTGCTTATGGGCTTGGCTCCTTGTTTAAGCTCTCTTCAGGTGCAGCTTGCTTTTATTTAGGGAAGCTGGAGTCCAAAAGAAGACAGGAGAAGCTAGAACTCGGGAAGAAGTGAAGGGTTGTAAAGTGGTGTGGGCTAACCCCAGCAGGCAGCTAGGCACTGTATTACCTGCGTGCTTACTCCCCCTCAGTGGGATGGGGGAGAGAATCAAAAGGATGAAAGTGAGAAAGCCCTCGGGTTGAAACAAGGACAGTTCCATAGGAAAACTGAAAACTGCGCCCTCAAGCAAAGCAAAATAAGGAACTCATTTGCTGCTTCCCATTGGGAAGCAGATATTTAGCCATTTCCAAGAGAGCAGGGCTTCATCATTCTTGTTGCATGGCTTGTGATTCCATCGCCATGGCACCAAAATGTGGGTTTTTTCCTACAGCCAGCAGACATAACAAAAGCTTCGCCACCTTTGGGACTGGAAGGATTTACTTTTTCCAGTGCCACAGAAGTTGGGGAGAAACCACCTCGATTGCAAAGGTAACATAGGATTTTCTTTGCCAGCAATGAGAATTTCTGGGGGTAAGGAATTATGAGTAACAGCCTGTTTCTGCAGAGAATGGAACACACCCCTAGGCATCAGCCTGTAATCAAGATCTGTACTCTGTCTTTATATATTATGGATCTTAACTCCTTACAAGTAGCATGTCGGCTTGCCTCTTTCAGAGAGGTTACTTATTTTGTGAAGGTGTGTAAAATAAGAAATGTTTGAATCTTTTTCACAGTGACCCACTGGTCTCTGAAGATAACCAGCTGCATAAACCATCTTGTTCTGAGGGTAAGTGTGTAAACTTTTACCGTTAAGGAGAAGGCTGTGTTGAGGGGAAGGGTCTTTTCGTACAAATAGACCAGCTGCATAAACCATCTTGTTCTGAGGGTAAGTGTGTAAACTTTTACCGTTAAGGAGAAGGGTCTTTTCATACAAATAGCAAGACTGTAACAAACTGAAAACAAAAATCCAGGTGGATTAGAAGAGTGAAAACATGAACGTGCTAGAGTTGAGTGCCCTTAACTGTGTTCAGCGAAAGACCAAGCATCTGAACTGACAACTGTCATCGTTTGTGAGGGCTTTCAAGCAGAATAATAGCTCTTCATCACACTTTCACATATGCAGTCTTGCCAACATCTGTAAGAGTTTAACACTAACATTAAGACTGCTGCTAAGTCAAGTCCTTTTTCCTCAGAGGATTTGGTGGAGGAATGCAATCAGAAATTCTGTATTTGGTTTTGCGAAGGGTGTGTGCTGGAGGAACTTACTTTTGACCCCAGCTGACAACTGTTACTATCGACAGAGGTTATCCAGTGTCTTGGTGTATGCCCAGATAGGGAGAGAAGTGTGTTTTCAGAGCCTGAGGATGGACAGGAGGAAGAGAGAGAGGAGGCCAGCCGTGGAACAAAAGGTACAAATTCTGAAGCATATTCTGAAAAGAGCGAGCTAGTGAACACACTAAGTGGTAAAAGTGTGGGTCATTAACATGACACAACCAAACCATTTTTAATAAGTTTCTTTAAATGTCAGATTTGTGACTTCCTGCTAGGACTGGTGTTTTTAAAGGCTGTGTATTAAATGTTTGAGGTGGCATTGGATATGTTGCTGTGGGAAAAACTGTTGGTGTAATACAGCCTCTTGGTTTTTCTTCACAGATGTAGCTCTCCTTCCTCCACCAGATACTGCCAAGGTTTTCTCTGTATTTGATGAATCCTCTACTTTGGCAAATCAGAATATAAGGTAGAATTATTCAAGATTTAAATTTCAGAGGGAGGGAAGACTGAGGTATCAAACCACTTTCTGCAGCAGCTGAAATACAGTGCTGCTTCTTGTCTGGATGGGGGACGTTGTCTTGTTTTGTTTGTATTTTTTGTTTTATTTCATTACTCTACTTGGAAAGTCCATGATAAGAAAAACTCTTATTCCTTCTTAATCTAGAACTACTTAAACTTCTGTATAAACTTTCTTCATTCTGGAGGGATATATATATCGTAGTTTTCTGGTAGTGGTATAGTAGAAAGTGGGAGATGGAAATTGTCAGTAGGCTTAAACTCTTGAGAGGAATGTCTGAAGACGGGAAGCTACTCTAATAAATACTTAATGGAATGTAACTATCTTAGTTGTTCTGCAGCTCCTACACAGAACAGTTACCGGTGTCCTCTTGCTGATCGTAAACCTTTAGATTCCCAGACTGCAAAGGAAAACGCACCGCCGGAAGCCTGTGTAAGCGAACAGCTTATCCTGTAGCAGATTTCCTGTCAAGGGGAAGCTGGCATAGAAAGTCCTGCTGTTAACTGAGTGACACTGACTGGGCTGACACGATCCGAGATAAACAAGGATTCTGAACTTCTGTCTGGCCTGGCAGTACTGAATTGGGTGATTTTAAAACTACACTGGAAATGTCATGGGTTTATAAGGCTTAGGCTTTAAGGTAGCCAGTGCGGAGGTGATGGTAAGGAGTCTTCCAAATTTTAAGCATCTGATTAGTGGCCAGGATTCCTCACTCTGAGAACAAGTTTGTGTGAGAGAGTTGCACAGTGCTGCCTCCTGTTGCATCCACTTCCTTGCCATGTCTCCAGACAAGCATCTTGGCTCTTGTGTTCCTCACCTGAAGTACCTGATGCTTGACTCCCTTAAACCTTTGTATGTTGGTGCCTAATCTATGTGTCTTTATGTGGCAGCTCTGCAGATGTCTGTAAAGCTTTCAATAGAGGTGGTAGCTGCTGTCTCACCAAAGGACTTGGTTGCTGAATGCCACAATAGACCTTTAGACTTGATGAGTGAGAGGATTTTATTCTGAGCTGAGAGGCATTTTATGTATGGCTACAACATGAAATACTTAGCAGGGTTAAGCATGGCAAGCATCATGCTGATTTTGGTTCTAGAGCAGCACTATGCAGTTATCCAAACTGACTCTACATGTTCAATGTGTCTGCGATGTCCAACACTTCAGTAAACCCTATAATAACGTGCTTATAACTGAACTGAAATGTGCTTCTGGAGTGATAGATAGTAAGTAGCCTTCAACAGCTCATGGCAGCTCTGCAGCACTCCAGAGGGTAACAGAGCTACCCTTTCCAGCTGGAAAAAAATACATGCACCTACATTACAGTTAGGGCTCAACTACTCAATTTATAAGTGTCGTACATGAAGACTGTTAGATTCATGTTGAAGGTGGTGGGGTGGAAAAAAGGGGAGAGAGCAATGTCCAGCTCTTACAGAAATAGAGACACAAAATCCACAGCTTTTCACTGTCTCTTCTTACTCTTTTCAGGTTGAGGCGAATGGAATCGAACCTTTGACTGAATATGCAATTGTGACCGGCTGCTACGGGAACAAGAGCCTATGTGCTAACCCAGAAGACATGTGTGACTTTGTTAGGGCTGCCCATCTGGCCTCAACGCCCTTTCATGGGGTGGTAGCTCAGAGAGTCCCAGCTCCTGCTTTTTCACAGGGTATCCTGAAGGAAGACTCTCCAGAACCTACAAGTGCACCTCTGAATCGGGAAATGCTGGCTTGCAAGGGAGAGTACAACGAAGCTCTTTGTGTAAATAAACTCAGGTAATTAAAAACAAAGTATCTTAAACCCTTTTTCCTGTGTGTCTTTCATTGGTTGTGGTTTCACTTTATTCTGTTGCTGAAGGAACAATTTTCTGAAGAGATCAGAATATACTGAAGGCAGCCATTGCTCTAGCTCAGGGTCCATTTTTGGGCAGACTTAAGAGGCAATAGCCCACTAGGCTTTTCAGCATTACTGCTGTAGGATTAACTCCATGCTTTTTCTAACAAATAACTTGTAAAGGAATTAATAAACACATTCTGTCTTTGTAACCAGAGGTGAAAAGTAGAATCATCAGTTCCTTTTATACTCTTATGCTTCTGTACTTATTTCAGTATATAAAAATGCATCTGGTGATTATGACTTAGATTTCTTCTACAGGGGAGAAAAGCTGGAGAGAAGACAGACTGGCAAACAACCTCTTGTTGCTTATCATTGTAAAGAAACATGCCTCTGTTGTATGGGGTTTTCTTAATGTAGAACCGACTTTGATTTGCTGGCTGTTAGTATGCAAACATGTATGCTATGCTGAAGGTGTGTGTTTTTCTGGCAAGTTCCCTGGGAAACCATGCTGGTTATAATTAGGAAGGAAGAGGAAGGGCAAGAGTTATTTCTCACCCAACCCTCTGCTGCTTTACAGGCACAATACCTTTACAAGGTGTTTTGCTAGCCGGAGTTAAACCACGATGCTGAGGGAGTAATAAACATTCAGTATGCCTTCTGTTGTAGCATTCATATTTAATGAAAGAGAAGATAAAATTTGTCTGTAGACTGGTTATACTCAGAACCTTAATCATGGAAGCTGTGGCATAAATAACTACTGTTTTTCCACTAAGGATGGGAAAGGACTGCTTTAACATAAAATTGTCTGGAGGTGCAGAGTATCCTTCCGTAGTTACTAGTCTGGCATTATCTATGCACTGTATCTTCTCAGTATGAATAGCTGATGACTTCATTTACAGCCCAATCATGGAAGCAAGCCTGGAAGATACTCGCTCGTCAGGTTCTTCCGTCACCTCAGGATCGTCTCTTTCCTGTGTTACACAAATATCTACTATTAAATACCTGCATGTCCCTGAGAAACTGGAACTTGCTCAAAGCTTGCCTGCTGAAACGGTTACTGATTCTGGAGGTGGGAGTGAAATCCATACTGGTTAGTACTCGGTCTCATGCACAGCAAACAGCTGACACTGAGCTGTGGTCCTTTTTCTGTACTTCCTATGTTTTACTGTTTCTGTATATTTCCTGTTACTTTGACTTGTGACTAAACTTACATCTGACAAATACCTTACTGCAATGCTTTTCAAGCATAACAGTAGGTAATGATTCTCTGATCCTTACTTGGGTACTGTGAGAGCTTAAAATGTCGTCAGGCATTACTAGTCACAGTCTTTGGGCAAGGAAGTCAGTAGAAGCCATCTAGTGCTGCTGGTTTACTCTGAGATCAATGCTTTTCAGGCCACCCACAGATGAACTCATCTGTTGAATTATTTTCTCTATGTCCTATTATATAGGGAAATAAACCCAGACCTACATGTAATTGTCTTGTGTTTTCCAGGAGGTGAAAGCCATTAAATTGTTAATATTGCAGGGAGCAGCAGATTTGGAGTCCAGCTTTGTTTTCTTTTTCCGTAAAACCCCTGCTGTATTCAAAGGAGTGAATGTCAATAAGCCCCTTGGTTTAAAAATCACAAACTGATCACTTACTCTGCCCATAGATTTAAAAAAGGAGTGTTAATATGCAAAATGTGGCAGAGCAGGTGTGCCTAAGCTAGTTTGCACCTTAGTCTCTTTCACAAGATATTTATTACATGACACTACAGTAGAATCATTGAGGCCTCATGATGAGATAGTCTGAAAGGTACTTTCAAAGGTGAGTGTTATGTTCACAGAACAAGAAAATATTGGAAAGAGATTAACTGACTTGGTGAAAGGTGGCACAATAAAGCAGGATGCGGATAGAAAGCCTCCATGATCTAGGTTACTTTTTCATAGGTATAGTCATGTCAGGAAGATACTCTACAGTTAATTCCGCTCATCTGTGTCTATTGCTTGTCTTCCTAGGTGATGATGGAACTCTGTTCTTGTGGAGCGCTGAGCAGCGTAAAAAACTTCTGGATCCTATGCCAGAACCGGTGACTGCTTCTCCAGATTTTCATTTGGAGACCGGTGCTCTGCCTGTCATGGAGCTTCAGAAAGACATCTTGCTAGGTAGGTGTGCCAGAGACTGCGCAGTGCAGATCTGTGTTCTGATTGGTCTGAAAGGTGCTTAATGTTCACCCTTGCTAGTTTTATGTGGTGTAGATGAGAATCACATGAACAGCCTGCGTACAGGTATTTGCTGTGACAACTCCTAAGTGTCAAATTTCATAACAGGAAACGAGACTTACTGTATCAAATGGGAATATTGGGCCAATGAAGAATACAAGATGATGTTTGCCATTCCAGCTAACTGTCCCCAGTTGGATGCAAGGGGATTTGCAATTAAGGTAGTGTATGTGATGTTCTTTATACAAAAAGTGTACAGTACTAAAATCTTCTCGGCCAATGTAAATTAAAATGTAGTAAGTTTGGTCTTAATTTCTGAATTCCATCCATGAAGATTGCTACTTCAAGTTCTCCTTCTAATTGTTGATGTAGATTAAAAGTTTGACTGTGAAAAATATCTTCTGTGGTAAAGCAGGGAGGGGGAAAAAAGAGGATGAAAGGAATGCGAAGATGAGCAATTTTCACTTTATTCCAAAAAATCAGTGTTGTTTTTATGTACCTTCTTGTAGGTGTATTCCCAGCCTGTGCCGTGGGACTTCTATATCACACTTCAGTTACAGGAGCGTTTGAGTGCTGACTTTGACCGAAGCTTCAGTGAGAGCTGCAGCTGTTACTTGTATCAAGATGGCTGTGCTGTTTTGCACAAGGATATAAATCGCTTCACACTTGGCGTAAGTACAGGTGAACAAAGAATTGTAGAAGACATGAACTCTTGCGTAGTGAGGTGTGTTGTCGTTATGCTCGTTGTTGAAGATTGCAGGATTAAACATGTGAAGCTATCTAGATCCTCTGGCTTTTATTTTGTCTATATACAAGTTAGGACTGTATTAGAGCTTCAATTAGAGCTGGTTCTTCACTTAGACATCATGTGCTTCTCGGAGAGAAACCAATTTTTCACATTTTCTTTATTCATGAATAATAAATGGCCTGAGCCAAGAGCCACGTGTTATTCCACAAGGTTTGCATCTAAAACTCTTGCTTAACTCCGCATCTTTCAATGAGTTCCAGTCTTCCACAGCAAGGTCACAGCATTCAGTGTTTTGCTGAAGGATTTACGTTTTAAATCGAGTATTTTAAGTGCATTTTGAATTGTTGCATATAAATAGGATGCAAATTAAATAGTGATTTCTGTCTTCAGTTCAATTTCCTCTTCCTGATCTTCCATCCCCTTCTGATTATTACTGTCTCTTAAGAGCTCATGGCTCTTCTAATTTTGGCTGGGTTGATCGTGGGCAAAATCTGGTTATACTGAATTTAGGGTGTGACTGTTATCTCTGTACAGATGAGCAGGGAGAGAAAAGGTGAGCTATAAATACTTTACTTAATCCAAGATAGAATGGCATATAGATAGATGTTTGTTCTCTGTTTTTCAGGATGTTATTCGTGGCTGTAAGTCCATCATGGAGGAAGTTATCCTACTGGTTGTTTATAATCTTCTGGCTATGGTAGAGAAGCTCCACAAAGCAGAGATTGTCCATGGAGATCTGCGCCCAGAGGTGTTCTTCCTGGGAGACAGGTTTGTCTCTTTGTGTGAATACGGGAGGATATAGGAGACTCTGTTTCAGTCACAGCTCTTGTGCTTTCATAATTTCTCCTCTTCAGTTGGGGTACTGATATTGCAGTCCCTTGTTCTTAGGCTACAATGTATTCTGAAAATGGTGAAAACACTTGGTTGAGAATAAGCCTTTCTTTGGTTTATTTCTATACAAATAGCATATGGTGGTGGTGTAGCACAGGTTAACAAAATGGTTTTGCTGTTGGCTATGTTCAAGTTTCTCCTTTACCAATGTACTGGGCAGCTAACTGGATATTGGTAAATAACTTGCCCTTTGGTGTTGCATATCTGAAAAACAGGGAACTAGAAGACAAAGAGCAGGTGGGACTGGAATATCCAGATGCTCTTGAACAGAATGGTCCAACTTGTAACTTGATGCACAGATCTAGTTTTCTTCTTTGAGCACTTTCTCATATTATGTTAATTAAGTCACATACCCCTTGGAATGTGATCTGTGAACTAAGTGTGGGAAGGTAGTAACTTTGGAATGTCTAATGATTCAGATATAATTCCATTAGGAGGAGTTCACTGAGGCTGTTCTTGGTCTTCACTGCTTTGTTAAAAATAGCTTTTAATTTCTTTTGAACCTGCAGTTATCTAACATGCACATTGCCAATATATTTTATTTATAACTTCTTTATAATTTTATTTAAATTCATTGTATAATTTCACTTATACATTACCCAAATGTACTAGTGAAGCTCTAGTATTTTCTTCACACACCCCATGCACAGGTCTTGCACATCCCGCAGGGTGCACACATCCTATTTTGAAAGTCACGGATCTAACAGTGGCTTGATGGACCTGGGCATCTCCTGCTGGATTTCTCTGTGGCAAACACAAACTAAACTGCCAAAAAGTTAGGATAAAGTTTTGGGTTTTTTGGATAGCAAAAACTAACCTAGACAATACATAGTATAAACTACAAAATACGCTTGTAACATATGAGTGTGTAAGAACAGTGACACCTGTGATCTGTTCATTGTTGGCTTGGCAGTACTGCCATCTATGCAGATACTCCTCCCTGCCCTTTGTTTGTCGTCTCTAGTGTGTAGACTAGGAAAGGTTTATTAAAGTATTGTGAAGCTTAATTCTTGTATAAAGTATTCTGAGATCTCGAAGGAGAGGGAGAAGTGCTAAACATTATGCTATTTTCTCATTCCATCAGCTGTGTGTCGGATAACTCTGACAAAGTCATCCTTAACCCTTTAGTGTTTCCAGTTGCTTCCTCTGGAGGTACCATTGTCATCTCTCAGCTTCAGGCTGCCAACTGGTTCCCCATCCGGGGATGGTCCTTTTGGCAGTAGTTCTTAATCTAGCCATCAGAGGGGAGCATTGACACAGCGAAGGCTCACCTCCACGGGCTGGGAAACTTCATTTAGAAGCTGTTGGGTGGATCATCTAATGCTTCACTTGCTCCCTCTGATCAGGATCTGTGATCCGTTTGCTAACGATGAGATGGCAAGAGCTCTGAAGATAGTGGATTTCTCTCACAGTCTAGATTTGAGGTTACAGTCTCAAGTAAGCTTGTCCGACAGCTTTCCCATATCGCAGACCCCTCATGGACAGCAGCTTCTGGTGAAAAGTTCTCTTCCTTATCAGGTGAGTCTGAGCCAGACGTCTTGGTTTCTGTGTTACCTTTACAAAACCTGTTTTCTTAAGTTATGTTTTGCAAACTCTGTGGAAAGCTCTAATTGATAAATACTGAATAAAGAAAATACTTCATCTTTGGCCTTAAGTGAAGGGACTGGCAGTGCTGTGACTACTGTATTTAGGAGCCTACGATAAGAGCAGAACTTTATTTTTTGGAGCTTTCGTGCTTAGCATGCCTTTGGAAGATTCTGATGCAAAGACCAATTCAGATTAAATGTGTAAAAGCACCAGCAGTAGAAATCTGTAGTGGATTGCAGACACTGACAGAACTTTCCGATGTTGTGATTGCAGGTGGACTTGGTTGGCATTGCAGATATAGTCCATTTGCTGCTCTTTGGGGATCACCTCCAGGTCTGTCAAGAAAATTCCATCTGGAAAGTCAGCCGAAATCTATCCACGTAAGTTCTTTGCAGAGGAGGCTGCTGGGAAGAAATAGCCCTTCTAACTTCCTTCGCTTCCATTACAATGGTGCCGTATTCAAGGCTTAGAACACGAGTGCGGCTGTTGCCAAAAGCACTAGTTCTGTGAGGCCTGACATTTTGAAGGTACTAGACTTGTTCGTGGTAACCTTGGTGCTGCGTAGGAGACAGCTTCAAGCTGAACGTGAGCCAAACAGCCCAGTGAAGGGGACTTTGCTTTTTCTTTCCTTTCAGACCAGACTGCTTTAGTCTCACTTCTTACTTGATAGACCAAGCTTGGAGAAGTTTGTAAGTGGGTGGGTGGTGAGGGAGTAAAAATCACGTGAGCATGTTGCTTTAGAAAAGGAGATTATTTTGGTTTTCTGTTTTCTTCATTGTAGGCTATGTTGAAGGGCAACTTATGCCAGGGTTCTGTCCGTAACAGTTGCAGAAACAGTATACATGCACAAGAAGAGAATTTAAAATGATAACTTAAGATGCTTGTGCAAGCAGCTTCTTTTTGGAAGCTGCTGTTTGTCTTCAGGTACTAATGTCTACTGCTCTTAGCCACATGCTTTGGCCATAAGATGACACTGCCTTTGTCTACCCCCTTGTTTGCTCTTAGACTAAACACTAGCTCGTTTTGTTAGTCACATCCTGCAGAATTTTCTGCCTTAGTGTTCTATAAGGATTTCCAGGGCGCTTTGCTCATGGCCAATTACTTGGGATGTGTGCATTCAGGATCATGATGTATTAGCTGCACTCGCTGTGTGGATGCACTTCTCTAACTGTTGCTGTAAGAAAACCTACTACCACTCAGAGTTGTCTAGTTCCCTAGCAACCTCCAGTACTTACACCTCCTAGTTTGTTGTATTCAACCTCTGGAAAAAAACTCATCACCTTAAGCTGTGTACAGGGAAACCCACCTTTTTTTCTTTACTGGGCATATCTCTGTTTCTGCTGTAGATACCAGTAGTTACCTGGCTATCGCAGGCTGAGGGGTTACTAGGATTCCGTACTGTACCCTGTAGCTTTTGTTTTTTCTTCAGAGGATCAACTTGCAGGACAAGGCTGTGAAGAACCAAATCACCACGGGTGACTATATTTTCTGAAGAGATGAGTATCAGTGATGTATAGGTTGGCAGTAAATGTGTGTCTTATGCTGCCTTTGTTTCAGAAATACTAAAAGAAAAAAGGCAAAAAAAAGTGCAAATCATTGATGGAAACTGGCTTTTGCTCTTGACTGACAGATATTTTAACATTAGATGTCTTTGAGCTATGTAAATCTGACCTGTTCTGAAAAATGAGACTCCTACATATTCATTTCTATCAGAACATGATAGGGGACACTGAGTGGAAAGAAATAGAATTCTGGGTAGAGAGAGAACTTGAGAGACTTGGGTAGAAGAGGAGTGAGACCTGTGATGGGCTAGAGGAGTCTGAGGAGGAAGGTAAAGCCTGGGCCTAAGTTCTGTGCAGCTGCAACCAGGCTGTAATGGCTCATCGCTCGCTTGGGAACATCAGTTTGACTTGGAGTACGAATAAGGAATTTCCGGTTTCCATCCTGCCTTCCACTTTGCTTCTCCAAGTGTGTTAGACTACTTATCTCCTATACTTACTTTTCAGTATCAAGGGTTCTAAGAAATGTTTGTATAGGTGCTTTAGTTACATGTTATACTGGAGTCTTATATCAACAGTGTGAACACGGCATCTCCTTGTGTGGGAATAAGGAACTGGCACTGAGTCTTTGCTTTTGCTAATCTTTGAGTGTAGCTGGCTCTTAATTAATTGCACTTCCTCCAGTCAATTTGAAGCTTTCAATAAATTCTCAAGTGATCTCTGACACACAAGTTCAGTGCCGCAGGGAATCTTCAGCCACCAGAAGGAGCTACACAATTAAGGCACTTCCCTGTGACAAGAGTTGGCTGCCGGATGCTAATCTGCTTTATCCTCTGCACACAGCCACACGCAGCAGAGACACTTGCAGCACCCACGAAGACACAGGATTCTTTCTCCTGTTGTGTTTAATAATTCTACTTTTCCTTTGTAAAGATGATGTTACTTCTTCCTCCTCAAAGTTCTCTAAGTTGGAAAGTGTTTTTCAGTCTCTGGGGTTGGTTTGGGTTTGTCGGGGCTTTCTGAGGGCTGTATTGACAGGACAACTCTCCTGAAATGAAAGAATGTTCTGAGGATGTGGGCGGTGTGAAATACAAAGGCAGCTTCTTGCTAGAAGGCTGCTGTTGTTAAATGCAACAACCATGACCACCGTATCTTAGGGGAGCTTTCAAAGAAGGCCTTAATTAATTTTAAGTATTAAACAAACCTAAAGATAATACGACAACTTGTGGAGCCAGTAATTTTACAATCGGTTCAACAAAATACCAAAGTGGGGAATTACGGAGCACAGAACTGTTCTTTTATTGAGTGCTGTTGGCCTTAAAGCAGAACCCACCACTTAAAAGGTGACAGAATGAATGCGAAACACTTGAATCTTGTAGTGAAGTCTCCTGGAAAGGTGGGATGTGAATTCTGACTGAGCTTTTTTCATCTCTGAGGATTACTACAACCTGTTTTTCAGGGGAGGGAGTTTTAGCATGTTACCATTACCAAAGAATGGATTTGGAGATTTTTTAGTTACAGGAGTGTTTTTAGCTTTTCTGTTGTCACTGTAGTATTTCAGGAAACTTCCCCTGTGCAGGCTCACGTGAGGTAGCATACAGAAGCTGTGGTTTGAATCTTTAGAACTGCTTTTGTCACTCAACTCCTTAGATATCCTCACCAACATGTGACCTCCTCTGCTACACTTCTTAAAACGTTAAAGTCTATGAAGAAAATGGCCTCAAGTCTTGCTTCCCCACCCCATCCCCAAGTTAGATTCTGTATGACTTCATTATTTTAGACACTGTAACAGTCACTAGTGTAATAGTACAGGCCAGATGCCTTCTGAGACTATAGCTGCTGCTGTTCTGTGAGTCACTCAGATAAAGGAGAGGCAGATGATTTGTTCAAAAGCCAACGTTAACTCCTGGCTTGAGGGAGAAAAGTACTTTGGCTGTCAGCGGCAGTGTGGGCTGTGGGCTTCGGTGCAAGACTACAGAACAGAGGGTTAGCTCAGAGATCAGTTTTCTGAGACTTTAATGAGTCACTCACACAACATGAAGGAAGAGGCTCTATCTGTGACAGAGGGGATTTATTGCCATTAATTGTCTTTGAAGTGTTATCTATATGAGAACTCTGGCAGATGGAAGTCAGGGGGGAAAAAGAGTAAACCTGGCTGTAAACCACTCTTTAAAAACCGGTGTGGGTTTTTTTTTTTATTTCTCTTGCAGCTTTCCTTTAACATTGACCTGTGAACTGAACTTGCCAATGGGGGAATAAGATTTGCTTCTACCCCTAACTCATGAAAGGAATCTGCCAACTTTGTTGGTTGAAAGAATGTTCTTGATAACTCCTTTTAATTTAAAGTGCTGTGGCTCAGTGTGAGTGGTTGATAGTGGTCAGGCACACTAGAAGAGGTAACTGTAAAAACAAGGGTTTGGATAGACCTGTGGAGTTACTATCCAGCAGCCTACTGAAGGAAAAGCAAGGGGCCCACATGTATCAACAACACATTCCCCGTTTTGTGAGTGAAATTATTGTTTCAGACTCTGGTTCTCCCAGGAAGTTTAGTACTGAATGTGAATGGAAATGCTGACGGACGTGTGGTGTGTGCTACCATTTGACTGAAAACCGCTCTGTTTGTTTTAGGACTGTTGACAGTGATTTCTGGAATAAACTTTTTGAGAGAATTCTGAATGCAGCTGGTAAGTCCACAGTGCCTCTGCTGAGGGAGCTGAGAGAGGAAATTAGTGACATGTTTGACAGCTCTTTCCAAGAACGACTTGGTGAATCCTTAGCTGCGCTGGGAGAAACTTTCTTCTTTGAGAACTTCCTGTAATTGTGTAGAGGGGACAGACATTTTGTATTATAGAGGAATTTGTTGTTAACTTCTTATTTATTTCTCTTTAATAGAAGCCTGAACAGTGATTGTAGCAATAATACTTCACGCAGGACTGGCTAAAGAATGTTTCTATTGCATCAGTGCATAGATAACCTCCTAAGCTTGCTACGTAAACTAGTCTGAGCCGTTTGCCAGAGAAAATTGGTTGTCCCTGTTTTTTATAGCTGCTTAAAATTATGTTTAATACCTAGTTCATACTGCAGCCTCTGAAATGTTGGTGTCTTTATGTTTTGTTGGTCTTTTAATTGGTGTTTCATCAATAAAGCTGTATTTTGGTAGCAACTCTGTCATATTAAACATTACTGTCAGATGGTGACAAAAGACTTGATGTAGTATTCATGCTGAAGTGCTTGTGCCCGACTGGGAATTGTTTGTGGTTGCAGCTACAAAAGCCCCTCATTTGGTGGCAGCTTTCATAACCACACAGGACTTCCTGGACACTTGAATGTGACACGACTGCTTCCACTTGGAGTGTGCTCTCATGGATGGCTGTCATAAGGAAAAGTAGATGAAGTCATGAGTGAGAAAGATGCGTCCCTAAATCTTTGCTTCTCAGCGCAAGTGTTATTTACTTCTGCAAGGGTTAGAGTTGCTGGCCGGCCTGAGCAGCTTTCAAAGATCTCGCTGAAGTCCAACCTTGCAGTATGTGCTGAAGTGTTTGCAGGTTTTTGTGGGAGGTTCTGCGGACAGCTGCTTGTGTTAACCCATTAGGAACTGTTACTGAAACCCATACAAAGCCTTTTTTATTCAAGAGAACAATTTACAGGATCCAAACCCAAGATGTTGCGTACCTTAAGTGTAGACTCAGGATTACTCCTTCACAGCTTCTCCTCTGTATGAAAGCGAGAGTAGAAGATGGCATCACTAGTAATTTATTCTCCCTATAAAACCAAATTGGCTGTAAGTGCTTTTTCATTTGGTCAAATTCTTCTGCCATCGTTCTGTTTTGATTGTCCCCTGTTTCTGTGATCTCTAAATTCTGCTCTGGAACTTCATTTTCTGAGTTGCTACAAGCCACCTTCTTTCCTGTTCTTTCTGCATGTCTCCACTGCTGCTCCTCCTGCTTTGACCCGCGTGGTCTTTGCTCTTCCAGTTACCTAATGCCACTTTTATAGTTCCTTCGTGAAGGTTGTTACACTCTCATAATTCAGGAATAGGACTTAAATGTGCTGCTGGATGAGCTTTAATATCTGATGTCAACTGCTGCTGAACAATGGTTTTAGCCTGTTAATGCCTCAATGTTTCCTGTAACACAAATCACTAGTTTGTCATCTGTTGAGCAAGCAGATGAAAAAATGTTCTGTCTCTAGATGGGGTTTGGCGCAGAGCTCACTGGTAGAGCAGCTGGAAGCTATGCACTGGACTAACTTCTGCTGACTCTCGGAGGTCTTGAGTGTGCTTGTGCTTTCCTTTAGCTGAAATTTTTCTTTTGCTGATCTTTTAACTTCTTCTTAGACAAAGTCTGGGGGAATCTCATTTTCTGTCCTTGCTTTCAGCCTTTTCGGTTTATATCCTGCAGTTCTGATATGAAACCCAGGTATCTTAAGAGAACACTCATGACAAGGTATTGGTCATCCCAAGGACTTCTCGGGCAAGACATGTTTCCAGCCAACACAGAACAACTTCACTACCTCTTCACCTATTGCATAAACCTTACTCAGACAGAAAGCTGCTGAGAACAGTCTGAACACACAGATAAGAAGTCTCAGCCGACTTTCAGTAAAGGAAACTTGTTGCTCTGGTATTTAAAATCTATAGGTGAATCTATTTGTCTTTGAAGTCTACTTTAATGGAGTGTTTCAGCTTTTATGTTGTCTTGGCATCTGTTTTCTTCCTGAGCAAAAAGTGTGCTAATCCTTCTTCATCAAATAGGACTACCCTCGATGAGTTGCACAGGAGCTTGTCTCACTACTCTTCACGTGCACCTCAGCCAACCTAACCACTTCAGTTTATTAGAACTAGAAAATTACTGAAACTCCTCCCCAATAGTGTAAAATAAGAAATGCTTAGGAATGGTGTTGCAAACTTCTCCATAGGAAACAAAAAACGAAGAGGAGCTAGCAGCTGTAGAAAGAGTGCTGACATCTTTTCTGCTGCTTGTTCCCAGTTCTGCTCCGAAGGAACTCTGTGTCTCTTCTGCACAGGTTCGTCTCTGCCTACCTCATCCTGTGAGCTGGTTGCACCAACATGTAAAAGGAGGTCAGGGAGGTCTCTTGGACATCCCTGTTGTATCTCTGTTCAAGTTTTATTTTCTAAGCGACTGGTGCAACCATGATCCTTCACATTCCTTGGACTTATTTTCTTTCATGCACTCATATTCATATAATAAACAGGATATTAAAATTTGCAATAGCTCAGATTCCATCACCACATTTGAGTGATAACCTCATTGGGACTTCTAGGCCTGGTTATCACATAATTTCACCCTATCCTCTATCCCTTGTGGCACTTGTTCTCATCTTGGCAACTGTAGATATGCCCCTGTTCCTCTGAGGATGTCAGGACAATGTTGATCTCCAATGCACCATCTGGGCAAGGCTGGTCTCTTTCATGACTCTATTACAGTCCTGGCCTGTGGGGTCTTGGAGCATGCCCATCTTTTACATAATGATTCAAAAAGTGATGCTTGGGAAAAACTTGTCTAAGGTTAAAGACAGTTACTTTAAAACAAACAAACAAAAAAAAAACCCCATGACATGGCTTCATGCCTGCTAATATGTGCTTAATAACAGAGGGTTAATAGGCTTGATCGTGTTTAATTACCAGCAAGTAATACCATTGGCATCTGTAGAGGAAGGTGCCAAGTTGACTGTTTCCGGGAGAAAATGCCACACACTTGAAACTTTACACATCCATTTTACTTGTCTTTGCAAAACCATCAAACTCTTCTTAAAATTAAATACAGGTTAACTTGCCTAAAAGTTTCAAGCAGGAAGACACGTCTGAAATCAGATGGTTGGCGAATATAACACAAGTTGGGCAATGTTCGGCAAAGTGCCTACTGAGT